AAAAGCGAGGTGTGCTCTGATTGGCCAGCTATTCAGTGCGTTGTGATTGGCCGGATTCCTCAAGCGTGTGACGGAAATGATACCATACTGTGATGCCTGCAACCACATGTGACGACCCCGGGCTGGACTCCGCTTCTTCCACGGTGAAAGCCGATCCGGCGATCGACAATGCAAAGTTGATGTATTTCCTCAGTGACCAGCACGGATCAGCTCCAGGCATGACGAAGCGAATATCGTCCTCTTTTGGAAGGCCAAACAAAATAGTTTCACTTTTACAACGAAACACAGTGCCTTCATGACATGGCGGCGGCGGCAACAACAAAACTACAGCGAGAATAAAAATGACGCCTTCTTTCTTTGCGTGAACATTTGGGCGGCGTTATGCAAATCTTCCCACATCGTGACGTAGACATGTGGGGGTGTGTTAGAATGAGCCGTTTTAGGTAGGCGTGGTTAACTCTTAACTTTTATAAAGAATATCTCTTTGGATTTGAGACTTTAGTCTTTGCAACTTTACAGATATTCTTTATGCACCAAGAGCTTGTAACACTCCAAAGAGAAAGGAAAAATTTAAATCGCATCATATGACCCCTTTAAACCCATTATAATAAATGTCATGCTTGTGCCCTTCAGCAATACAGAAATTGAGTAAAGTTATCAAACACTAAATTCTAAATTAAAAATAGATGCATCCTTAAAGCTATACAAAAGTTATCTTTTTCATCGTTTTTCTTTTGTTCTTTGATTAATAGACATCACAGCAGCTGGGTAATTAGGTTATTTGGCTGCTATTACTTTAAGAGCTGCTGCTGCTGAACGTGACGTGGATCTGACACGCATGCTCGTAGTTTCATTCACGCTTTATTTGAAATGATACAGGCTACAGTATAATGCTGACAGGACAGGAAAATTCATTTTTACTGACATCTCTACTGACATTCATTTTCACTGTTGTTCTAATGAAGTTCCTCGTCACCTGTACCATTTCTGCAATCGTTTGACTAGCGCTTGGCACTGAGGCCAAGTGGAGTGCGTGTCTGAAAAGTCTCCTGTTTGATGTAAATAAATGCAATTCTTCTCAAGAAAAAGAGACGGAAGCAGCAGTTGTGAACCCTAGCTCCACCCCAGCGTTAACTGCGTTAAATATTTTTAATGCCGTTAAACTGGAAAAATTAAACGCACTAATTTTTACAGCACTAAATTATAGTAATTTTAACATGGAAAGAGCACAACATTATCCATACAAACAGTTGTTGACGTATGATTAATAAGTATTGTGTCTTTTTCAGGAGTTTAAACATAAACCAGATGAACCAATCAGAGGAGACTAAGAACACACCCAGCCCAGCCACACAAGTCAGAGATGTAAATACACCTGTTGAATATCCCGCAACCAGTCCACAGTTTTGAAATGTTGCCACACTGCGGAATTAACTGTAATTGAGTGCTTTTCTTTGCTTTCTTATAGATCGATGAGATCTTTGGTGGCAGTTCAGGAAGTGCAGGTGTGAATGGTAAAGAGAACGGTTCCTCATCAACCATTTCACAACCCTCACGAGTGAGTACATCTTAATGATTTAGAATATTTTGGGATTGCATTGCTTAACTACGTGTTTTTCTGATGAAGCTCAGATGGTTGTTGACATTAGACGTGGTTGATGTACTAACTGTTGTTTGGGGTAATGTTCAGGTGTCTCTCACCCTGGAAGAAAAGCAGCGTTTGGCTAAAGAACAGGAACAGGCTGCCAAACTAAGAAGCCAGCAGCCGCTGGCTCCACAGAGTGTCAAACCAGCCACAATGACACCTCAGGTAACACATACACTGTACAGAGGTATCATGGGAAACCTATTGTGACTTTCACACATGGAATTCATTTTTGCAGTGAAATGACCAGATCAACTTTTCTGGTAATAGGTACCATATCTCATTCACACCAGCATTCACGTTGTATTATTTGTCATTGTATCTGTACCTTACAATGACAAATAATACAATCTTAATGTAATTAATAGTATGCTTTTTGGCTTACTAATATCATTAATTTTACTTGGGGGTTATTCTGCTTGACCCGAGCTAACCTTGCCTTTCAATCAAAAAGCCAAAATGCCTAATATCAATCTCTGATGTCATTTACCAGTTGCAACATAAATAGTACGCTACAATATACAGAGACGGATACACACACAATTGTTAGCGCTTTCATCATTTAAAAATTCAGAACTGGCTAAAAGACAGCAGATATCTTATGGTAGAAGTCCTAGCCTTGAAACCATTAGTGTTACAATGTTGTTCACACATTGCATGACTACATGAATACAAAGAGTCCTGTGTACTTGAGACCTCTAAATGGGAAAATGCTATTACATGTATCACAAAGACTGTATGTCTTACAGCAACCAGTGATAACAGAATCTTTATGAGAAATGCAGAGTCACATTTTGCTGGTTGAAGTACTATGCTTGACTTTTAAACAGCTTGGTTTTTGAAGTAAAAATCAAGCCAGTCTCCCTGCACTCTAAAACTGCTTTTATAATTAAATCAAGACATTTCTTCAAATGTACTGTTTTTATATGGACTAATTAATGTCTGTAGATATTTAGGTTTTTATTTGCTTGCGTAATTTTCAATTCTTTATGGTAAAAATAGTACATAACCTCCCTCCCCTCTGATTTTCACTGTTTTGCTTCAAATCAAAGTTTGTTGATGTTGGTTGCTTCATGACGTTATATCGAGAATTTCTTGTTAAAAAAAGTGCTTCCAGAAGCAATGCAGCTGAAATGGCAGTCAGAAGGAAGAATTTTTTTTTTTCATTTTTTTTTTTTCATCAAGCAGTGTTAACTAGTTTATGCAGTTCAAGGCCAAGGTTATATAACACAAAGTACAATGGGTAACACTTTCTAATAACTTTCATTAATAAATAATTAACAAACATTATATAATAATTAGTGCTGTCAAACGATTAATCGCAATTAATCGCATCCAAAATAAACGTTTTTGTTTATATAATATCAATAATATATCATATTTATATAATATATATTGTTTATATAGTGAATGTGTACTGTGTATATTTATTATTTATATATAAATACACACATACAATATATATATTGAAAATATTTACATGTATATACATTTATATATTTATATTCTTATATTTTACATTATACATAAATATATTTAATATATAAACATAACATATTTTTCTTAAATATATACATGCATGTGTTTGTATTTATATATACATAATAAATATACACAGTATACACATTATGTAAATAAAAACTTTTATTTTTTTGGATGCGATTTAATCACGATTAATCGTTTGGCAGCACTAATAATAATATATTATACATTATATCATTTCTTTTAAAATCATTTGTATATTTTAAAAAGTTAATTATCGTATGTATGTACATAAGTTTGATGACATTTGTAAGCATTTCAGTTTACATTAAATAATGATCTGTTATTCATTAAATGTTTAATAAGTACATTTGTAAACGTTATCAAGCTTATTATCTTGTATTTCTAGCTATGTCAATATATATTAACTAATGATCTGTTAAGCATTATATAATGTTTGTTAATGATTTATGAAAGTTATTATAACGTGTTACCGTAAAAGTTTATAAATGTACATTGAATTAAAAAAATGAAACCTTTGCTAGATGTACAATGTTAATAACTATGAAAGTGTGTAATCACTGTCAGTGAACAGTAGGGTTGGGTATCGTTCGAATTTTATCTCTTCCAGTTACGATTTTACTTATCGATTGCGATTCTTATTGATTCCCAGTATCGATTCGGTAAAAAAAATGAAGTCAAACATTTAGATAACAAACATATTTACTCTGTGTCTCTCTTTGCGAAACATTTAATTGCTGCTGAATACCTTGAACAAAAATCAGCCGGCTACATAAAAACTGAGCTCAATTAATAGCTGTTTGTGTGCAAAATAGAGCTGCACGATTCTGGAGAAATTGAGACTTGTATGTATTTGGAGGTTGTAGTTGTAGTAACAATTCTGAAGAAAAAAATATTAAGACAGCTAAACAAAATCTAAACAAAATTTATGAATGGAATGATTCAATGACTCATTCAAGATTTACTTGTTTCATTACTGTATGAATCAGTGTTTTTCAATAAATCTCTTGAATGAATGATTCAAAGACAAATAAATGTTTTAACAGCCCCTTTTCACCACGGAAAAGAAAAAAAAGATGCACACACTGGAATTGATAGGCGGAATTGAAATTTTTAATTTTACAACAAGTATCCGATTCCTGACCTTAAAGGGTCATGAAACCCCCCGTTTCAGCACTGGTTAGTTCTCACCACAGTTTTAAAAAATGCTAAAAAAAGTGGGCGTGGTGCGCAGCGGAGCGGAGGAGGGGGAAGAGGGGAGACAGACAACACACAGCTTCGAGTTCAGACAGTTTCATTTCGCTCCCATCGAGTTAAAAACACAAATAAATGCACAGCCATTTGCACTCTGCATCGAAAACATTTATATGAACGCGCTGTTGCACCTCTGAGAACTTTTAAGGCTTATTCTGTGGCGTTTAACCAGTTTTCTCCAACAGTTAAAATTATCGGATGCTAACAATGTCTTCTATGATGTGCAACACAAACACCTCTGCTAAAATCTCAGAAAAAGTAGTCTGAGGTTTCATGACCCTTTAAGTATCTGATTCTGGAATTGGAATTGATCTTCAATTCCCAACCCGTGTTAAAAGGGTGGATTTTGATTTTTGGGATGTATGTACTATAACTAAAGATTTTTTTTTTTTCTTTTTCTTTTTCTTTTTTTTTTTTTTTTTTTTTTATTTTTTTTTTTTTTTTTTTTTTTTTT